TTTACGCATTTACATGCAATATTTAGCACACCGACTGTGGCTTGAGGGTTCATTAAAGCTAATAAAATGTGGATATGCCAGGTTTAGCGCATGCTAGTCGCGTATTTTAGGCGCAAACCGCCATTGTACTGACTTTTCTCTGTATCCTCGCATTGCATTGTGGCGGCTTTTCCTATTTACGGTTACGTTTTTTTTTTTTGTGTGTGTAACAGACTGCCTGGTGCCACCTGCGGTCTATTTGTTCCAGGCCAATTTTGTGGGCCGTATAGTATACCGAATGGCACACAATAAGTGGCGAGTATTAATGTGGTAATGACATGCAAGCGGTGTATGGGATTTTAACGACTTTGTGGCCCGTTTTGCATGTTGCTAAAGTGAATTTCGTTGGAGAGTTAGAAAGAGGGAGAGGAAATTGCGGAAGTAGTAGATGTTGCAGTGGGAAATATAAATTTTATGGAGGGAAAAATTTACGATTTAACAATATTTTTTAAAGCAGTAGAAAATCCTTTATAATTATAACTTGTCCGTCTGTTCGCCGTAACAAAAAGATCTATACTCATACAATTCCTTATTATTTGAAAAACCTCCTCAGAGAAGTTTTTTTTTTTAATTCAAACTAATTTTCAAAATTGCTCAAAATTTCCCTTTATGCAAATTTCACCAATGAAAGCTATTTCGCGCTTAACAACTTATAAGGGTTAAAACTGAGCCACATTTAAGTATTAACCACTATTTCTGAAAATTTCCCTTGAGGGAAATTTAATTAAACAGCCATATTTTTGCTAAACAGTTGACAATAACTATTAAGGAGAAAACTAAAAGTATATTCACATACTTTGCAAAAATTTCCCTCAAGGGATTTTCATCGACTTATCAAATTTCAAGCAAGCAGTAAAAGGAAACGATTATTCCACGATATTTTTTTAAGAGTGCGCGGTGTTTAACACCCAAATTCATAGAAAATACTTGAATTGCTTAACAGTATTGTATCAAGATATTCCTTTAGATGCCATTCAAACTTNTTTAAGAGTGCGCGGTGTTTAACACCCAAATTCATAGAAAATACTTGAATTGCTTAACAGTATTGTATGAAGATATTCCTTTAGATGCCATTCAAACTTATTATTTAATTTTTTTTACATAATAAAGGCATACATTTGTATTTGTTATTCAAAGTCGAGTTACTTAAATTTAAGTTAGCTTACCTTTCCTTTCTATTTTTTGCGTTGCGCACTTTTTCGTTATTCTTGGTGTCTTCGCTTATGAACATAAAACTAAGTAATTTGTGGAAATAATTTGTTTTTGCAATATTTTTGAGCTTTGGACCAAAAAAAAAACATAATCTTAAATTTGTATAAGAGAATTGAGGCTGGTTTTGTTTCTTGCTTAAAAATTACTTGCTTTAGGCCTTTTAAAGCTTGTTTCTTCGTTTACAGCTACGCTTAGCTATAAGTTTCGATACTGGATAGGCATCGAATGTGGTACTTTTTCGTAAAAAAATAGCTCTAATTCCAAGGAGAGATATTTACTTATCAACTTAAGATGCTATTCAGAGAAATTTCAGTAGTAATATGTACATGATTTTATAAATTTCTCTTAAAGGAAATTGTACAAATTAACGAATTGTGTTCAATAAATGAACTGAGGATAATACTAAGCAAAATTTAAATAATAATACATAGTTTTAGAAAATTTCCCAATAGGGAAATTTTACAAGTGAAAGCTTGAATTGCAGAAAAACCACCTGGAGTCAATGCCAAGTAAATATCTCAAATAACCACGCGTTTGGTTTTAATATTTTCAAAAAGAAATTTTTTCATCAAGTGCATTTTTTGTAGAATTCTATCGAAAAAGTCCTTTTCACTGCTTGGAATATACTCCGGCAATTCTTGTAGAAAAAAAAAGTCTTAATGTTAATTATGTTTAAGAGGTAATTGTAAGACTTATTAGAATTCTGTTACAAATATTTGAAAATACATAACAAGTAAAAACTAAGCATATTCCTTAAAAAAAACTCAAAATTCTTTCATTTGGCTTGCACTTGACAATAAACCAGGGGTAATCGACAAATTTTTTCGCGCTAAAAACACAATGAAATAACTATAATTTAAATAATCGCATTTTGCGTCGGGCGAAAGTTTTGAAAGTGACTTATTTTCATCAAAAAAAAAACTATAAAATTTCTCACACTTGCGTTAGTCGCACTTATGCATACTATTAGGCGCACGAAGATAAAAATTCTTTCAAACACACTTAACACAAAACTTTTTAGGCTATTAAATTTGAGATAAATGTGTACAAATTTAATTTGACACCAACTATGTTCTTACTAAGGAAAAAATTACGCTCACAAAGCAAAATTGTTGGCGCAAGATGAATAACCGAGGCATTTTAATGGCAAAAGGAAGCCAAAAAAATATAGAAAGAAACCCAAGCCGAAAAAGCAAAAGTTATGAAGCAAAGGTGCTGAGGGTGTTTTTGTTTTTCATTTGGCGAATACAAAAAGCGCTCCACCTTTTAAAGTATCCCCTCTAAATCCCAAAACTTATTAGCTAAAGTTCAATAAATTTCAGGCTGACCGCTACCAACAAACAACCAAACAAAAGCGGAAGTGGAGGTGGCAAAACTTTTGGGAAATTGAGAAAAACACGCTGCGACATTGCGAATGCCGCAAAAATGTCAAAAAGTTTAAATGACCAGTGAAAAGTTGGTGAGCGTGGAGGGAATATGGCGAGTGCTTTGCTATAGAATAAAGATTTGTGCAAATGGTAACCGCACACAGATAACACGAAAGTATTTGTTATTAAAGCGATAAAAAAGGAAAAAAATGAAGAAATTTACATTGAAATAAGATACAAAGCAAGGGAAAATTTGACAAAAGTAGGACACTTTTTCTAACCAAAAAAAAAACTCCCCAAAAAAAAAACAAAATAACACAACTACTTTGCTAATAATGCCGCAATTGTGTGCAATTTACGCCAAAAAGTCAAAACAAATGGAAAAGAAAATATTTCGCCAAACACTTTTCGGTGCGAGCTTCTTCGAATTTATATGCATTGTTCCGCTACACAGCTGGAGATATGTGCAGGATAAGAGCTGGAGGGGCACACCAGTAACATATTACCCTAGTTAGCTGTGGCTGCAGGCGTTTACCAAGAGCAGAAAGGACACTCAGTGACTAGGAAGAATTGTTTGTACCCTCTACAACTTCTTCTCCTTAGTCTTCTTCTACGATAAGCTACGCTTTTTCCTATCTTCCACCAAACAGACTTGAACCTAATTGAAGCGTAGACGCTTCTTACTTAGCCCTAAAGATATGCTACATTTCCTGTAAGTGTATATGTGTGCATCTGAGATAAAATGGAAGTTTAAATAAATGCATGCCCATAACCTCGCACTCTCCCTCCAGCCCACAATCATTTGTTTGCCCATCACGCGCCTTTGTTGTCTGCTGCAACAACCAACCAACGAACCAGTCAACTAACTACTTATCGCTTCGCCCTCAAGGGGCTCCCTGATGTATGCAACCCTTTTTTTAGTTCGTTAGTTTGGTATTTTATGTTTTTGAATTCTTTTGCGTTTTGGGGTTTCATCACTCGCCATTTACGCCAGCGCTCTGATTTCCAACTAGCGTCCTTTCTACTGCTCCGATTTTTGCTGTATTTTTTTTTTTTTTGTAATTCGTTTGGTATTTTTATTTTCACTGGCTTGTTGGCCGCATTGATTGCCGACATGTGAGTTGGCTGATAGGATTTCTTTTGCAAGCGTGTGAGTAGTGTTGAAATAGTGCGAAATTGCTTTGGCTTGGCGCGCATAAACTAGGGACTTAAAGAGAATTGGTAGCTAGTTTGTTTTTAGCATTCCAGTAGTTTTTTTTTTTCATTTCTTAATTTGAAGTGATTTCTTATTTCAGTTTGATTTTATTAAAGTTATAGCATTTTTTCCGCTCAACTTACAAATTACTATGGCTTGAGCGCACAGGAATGCAAGTTAATGGAATGCCGGTTTGCTTTGATAAATTAGTGGGTTAAAGTTACGTATGCGGAATGCGGAAAGGAATGGCAGAAGTATAAGTGAGTTGAAAAGTTTTGGTTGGAGAAACTGAAGTTAAAATATTTTAATTTTGTTTTGGGCCATAATTATAGACAAGCATACATACATATGTATTATCTTAGCCTACGTTAACAAAAAATTAATAAAGTTGTTGTTAAGAGAACTCTGTTTCGCACTGAGGAAATTATGTATATACCTTTTTTTAATAATTTCACCAATCAACTCGTTCAATTTAGGTTAGATTTGAAAATTTCCCAAAAAATTTCCCTTTGGGGAAATTTTATTAAAACTCATATTCGTTTATAAAAACATGTTTCGGAACAGTTTTAATTTTGTTCATTGAGAGGGATAAGCTGTAAGATTTTTTTTTCCAAAATGGATGGCAGCGTTTTTTTCAGATACAGTGCACGCTTGATAATGTGAACTAATTAAAACCAAGCGGGTTCACTTTTGCGAATGTCAAAATTGAGGCAAAAAAATATCCGCATTTGAGCCCATGTAAAATGAACATTTACATTTATGAAACAAGATTTAATGGATTTATTCTAAAAAGAATAGGGTACGGAAATACTTTCATTCAAAGATTTGTAAGTGTTCCTTTGAAACCGAAATATTTCAATAAAATTCACCCTACATTCACATGAATGAAACTCAATATACACCTCTTCAAAAGTAGTCCGTGATTTGCTTGTTTAGGCCACACGAAATAAGATGTTTAATTTAGAATATATCAACTATTTTACTATAATTTTATGAAAAACTATTACAAATATACAATTTTTTATTTGAACGCAAATAAATGAATTTCCCCAAAAATTTCCCTTGATGGGAAATTTTACAAATAAATATAGTTTTACCTAAAATTGCATATAAGATAGTATTCTGCAAAACCTATATTTTATGTTTGAAATTAAATCCAAAAATTTTAGAACTTTCCTCACACTCACCTTTCTCAACATGTCCTCCAGCGATTCCATATCAAGTCCAGCGTAGTTATTATTAAATTGACTGGAACAATTCGATGAAGTGCTCGTGTAACGCTTACGCCTACCCAAAGCTGGTGAGTTGACCAGCGAGCTGGGGCCACTCGAACTTATGCCACCACCGCCGCCACCACCACCCACCAACAGCGGATAGAGCGTGTGATGTAGCGCCTGTTGCGGCGGTGTTGGTGTGCTGCTGCCACTCAAGCTGCAACCACTCAAGTTACAACAAACGCCTGCCAATCCACCGCCGACGCCGACGCCGACGCCGCCACCCCCACCCACAGCGCATTGCTTCAAATTAACAATGGCCGGATGTTGGTGGAGTGTGTGCAAAGTGTGGCCATGACCATTGTTGTGATGATGGTGATGATGATGTTGGTGCTGATGCTGATGCTGTAGATTGTTGTGATGTAGAAAAAGCGGAGATCCGCTACTGCCACCAAGTAGCATTTTTGATGGAGATGCACTGCCAGATGAGCAATTCGAGTTCGGTGTTTGACCGCTATTGTTGGCTGAGGCCACAGCATTGGCGGTGCTATGCAGCTGCTTGTGATGTTGCATATTGCTGGAATTGTTGCCTGAGCTGATGTCGGCATCGAGCGAGGAATGAAGGCCAGAACAACTCGGTATTGGCGGCGACATGCTATTCTTACGCAAGTGCTGTTGTTGCACCTCCAATTGGGTAGGCGTGGCATCGACGAGCATCACTGTAGCGTCCATGGTTGGAATTTGAGTGCTTTGGATTGAAGTGCGCAAATGAGTATGTTGTAGTGGTAAGGTTTTTTTTTTTATATTTTTCGATAATTTTCACACGTTCTAATCTTTACTTTCACTTATTTTTTTGTTTAGTTGATAGTGTATGTATATAATTTACTTTATTGCATTTAGTTTATAAAATTCACAAAACTTGACTCTGACACACAATTTCCATTACGTAGCCAAAGGCGGTACACAGCTGACACATTTTAACTGCAGCAAACCAACGCGTATTCACTGACTGACTTAACGTCACAGCAGTACGCACGTGTTCATTTTGCAATACCACGCATAGTAAAAATTCATGGCATACTTTTGGGTTGCTTTAATTTTTAAACTTTAATTATGTTTTTCACAATAGTAACACACATTTCCATGTTCAGTAGTCGGTTTTCATTTATTCTATGGTGTGTGCATATTTTCCAAAACTCTTATCTGCAATGTAGAATGTTATTGCATACTTTTGAGCGCACACACAGTTCGCTTTTTGGTTAACTGGTCGCCCGCCTGGTGGCACTGATTAAAGTTTTTAGTGAACATAATTTTTTAGCACAAAATTTGGTAAAATGAAGCATGCTTTTTGGAGAATAAAATAATAATTCATTTTTAGCAAGTTTTTACTTTCTGTTGAATTTAATTGGAATTTTTCAACTGGGCTCGAAAAATCGATATAAATAATTTCAGGATAGGTCATGACAGCCGGCACGTAGTCGTAAGCATATAATTTGGACGATGGCTTTAATTTGTGCTGCAAAATTTTACGCTTTGGACGGATATTTTTCATATCTAACTGACATATTTCTGCATTTGGTAGAATAAAACTATTTTCAAAATAAAATATTTTCAAACAGTGTGTGAAGTGTGTTTACATATGTTTTTCTAGCATACTTTCAGGCGCTAGAATACCGGTGGCGGGTTTAAACTTATTGCAATCTCTTGAAAACTATAGAAATTATTGCGCTGGTATTTTAGAACTTCGACTTTAATAAAAAAAATTATATAAGCCATTGCGTTACGTGTTACAGCGTAGAAGCATCAGTTGCATACTTTTAGGCGTCATGATTCTAATTTTCATCAAAATTTTTTATCTACTTGTCTCACTGCCATTTTTGGTTCTGAAAAATATGTTTTCCTGCACTTAGCAACATGAATCAATTTGACTTCATACTTTAGTGGAGGTGAATATAGTAGTAGGGGCATCGGAATATAGGTTTAAGCTAATTTAAATGCGCTTATAATAAAAATGTTAGTAAAAACTTCATTTGTGAAGCTCAAATTCACATTTCATTAGTACAACTTACGCCGATTTCACCAACAATTTAAATGAAAATGATTTTTAATTTTCTGTCAATTTTCATTCAAAAATGTCAAATAAAAATGTAAAAATTAAAATCATTTTTCACTTAAATTGCTCTCGTGAAATTGGCTGTTAGTGGGCATTAGTTTAAACTTAACTGTGAAATACTTTGTTTGCATACTTTTAGCACACTTTTTGGCGGCTATTCATTAAAATCCGTCGAAAATTCTATAACGAAAATATTTTCGCACGGAGCTCTTACTTGTTAAAGCTACTGTTTCAAAAGTATTTTCTTGTATTATTTTATGCAAAACACCATTTCCCATTGTTAAAAACACCTAATTTTTTCCTAACCGGGCTATAAATACTGAAGACATGAAGTAGATTCACTGTTTGCCTTTTGGGAAATTTGGAAATAAATAAATATTACACTAAAATTTTAGTGAAAGCATGCAAAACATGCCTTATTTTCTATTTTTGAACAACTCTAAAAATTTCCCATAAATTTCCCTTTTTGGGATATTTTATAAAAACTCATATTTTAGTACAAACCCACATTTGGAATGCTTTTTATAAAATTTGTAATTTCCCTTATTGGAAAATTTTATAAAAATGCACATTTTGGTACAAACCACGAAAAAGAGAAAAAGGATTCATAAATAACCTGCGTATACATACATACATATTCGTACTTCTTTGTAATGAAAAAGAGCAAAAAAGCAAATAATCAGTTAAACAAGTGTTTTGTGGTTGTTGTTTATTTGCCATTTGGCTTGGCAACTGCGGCTTTTGTTTCTTCCTTAAAAAAAAAATATAGAAAACTGCCATTTTTTGCTACCTAGAAAAAGGACAGAAAATAACAACAGGCAAAGATAAAGTGGTCAACTGCCCCACGTCAGCAAGGAAGCAGAAAAATTGTGTTATGTGTGCAATGAGAACTCTGTGGGCGTTTGAAAAATGCTGTACCCAGCTGAACTTTGTAAAGCTCACTCGTATTTTATAACTCCAGTGAATTATGGTTGGATAAACATAGCACACGCATCCATATGCCTTATGCATAAACACACACACACACACACACACACACACACACACACACACACACATACACAAAACCACATACACCCACATTCATAACATATATATATTCACATTAGTCTGTCACCGGATGAAAGCAACAAACAACTGGCTTGTTGTAACGGTTGGTGATCCGAGTTTGCAGCGTAAACAAAACCACAACTCGCACTCGCTTTGGAGTTCAGCGTACTCAGTACGTCAGGAAGATTTATGTGTGACCAACATACCACTACTGCAGCTCCGGCCGGTAATGGCTATTTGCTTGGCAACAAAAGAGTTCATAGTATTACGCACACATAGTACGTCTACAGCTGGGTTTCCGCAGTCTGACCAGCTGGGTTTCCCATTGTAAACCACAAACAAGTGGCTGCTGCCGCAAAACTATAGCGGAGCAGCTATCTGCATATGAATATATGTATGTGCGTTTATTTAAAAGCGCTCATACACGCAGACATAATTTTATTTTTGCAACGCTTTTAAATCATATGAAATATTTACATTGTTGCTTTCTATATTCCTCATCTACTACAGCACAATACACTCTCTGCCCCCTGAATGCCCTCATATTCTCATTTTGCCTACATTAACTACACCGTCCACCAGCTCTTTTACCACTTTCGTTCCATTTTTTCGGTCTGTTTTTTTTTTTGTCTTTGTCTACTTTGCCCTTCAACTACCATAATCGAATTTATATGTTATTGCACTTGGTTATTCGCACAGAAAGTCTCTGCCACTACTCGTCGTCCGTTGTCGCTTTTACGCCTCACTTGCGACACTGACATTGACACGATTGTGCAGCGCCTGTAAGTATGCAACAATACAGCAAGGCAGCGGAGCTATGCATGTTTTTTTGTGGTTTTCTGTTTGTGTTATGATCACAGAAAAGCAGCTTTGTTGCTTGCAATTGAGTTATTTATGCGCCAGAATTGAATNCTGTGTTATGATCACAGTAAAGCAGCTTTGTTGCTTGCAATTGAGTTATTTATGCGCCAGAATTGAATTTGTTGTGGTTTATGGCGTGCGAAACAAAAAAAAATAAATAAATAAATAAATCAAAATAAAAAGAAAAACAAAAAGCCAAATAATTAATTTTATTTAGCACAGACGACGGCCAGACAGGCTTAATAATAAACAGACTTTTGGGATTATGAAGATTGTGAAAAAAGTTCTAGTCTAGCAGTGATTAAATTTTAACCGAAACGAAATTTTGAATATCTTGTCGTTTTCATTTCTTTTAGGTTTCTTTTCAATTTAAATTTTTCGTCAACGCTTAAATTTTTCTCGAATTCATTTATCTAAGTAGTACTGAAATACTTACAGCAAATATTTTTTTTAGAAAAAATTATTAGTAAAAACACAAAATTTCACCAAAAAAAATTTAGTTTTCACATATATACATACTTAGTTATGTATTCGGGAAAAATACGAGAACGTATTAAAAATATTCGAAACAAAGAACAAATTTACCAAGTAAATTTTTTTACAAATAAAAGTTTTTGAACAAGAAAATTTTTTTACAAAATTTTTGTAACCCAGAAAAATATTGTAACAAAGAAGATATTTTCCCAATATGAGAACTTGTACTTTAATTTGGAGCCTTATTTATAAAATTAAAATAAATTTCAAGTTTCATATAGTTTTCAGCTGAAATATAAAGCTTCTTTAATCGATAAAAAAAATTTCATAAAATTTTTCTGTTTACTATAATATATATATTTTATATATATATATTTTATACTAAAATGGAAAGTTTGAGTAATGACAGCTATAAAAAATAATTATTTTTTAACGAAAAAAACATTTTAATTATTCCTAGGCATTTTCACTGAGGAAATTATTATTTCATGCATTTATTAATTTAAGAAAATTTTGTATTAATAGTTTCCTTAAAAAATATACATTTTTTGTGAAATAAATCTGTGAAAATATTTTTTTTTAATAGATACATAAATATTTCCAAAAATTTGTCGATTTAAGAAAATGGTAAAAATTCTATTCATACGTGTTGTAAATTTTAATTTTTACAAAGAAATTTCTAAAAAATTGATTTTGTTATGAGTCCAAAAATAAATAAATAATTGGGTTAAAATCTTTCAATTGAAAAAAATTACTCGCCCTGAAAATATTTTGAATAAAATCACATATCAAATTTTAATATAACAATTTTTCTAATGAAATTTACTTTCATGATTCAAAATTTTTACTGCTGAGAGTTTAAATAAACCGGGAAATATAAAACATTAAATAAAATCTTTTCGAATACCAAAGAAAACAGTAAACTTACTTATAATCGTTAAGAATTTATTTTAAAAATTCTACAAAAGCAAAAACACTGGGAGGAGAAATTTTTCACATTTTTATAGATATTTGAGTTACAGTAATTAAAATTTTTTTTAATCCTCAAAAGAGAAAAATTGTAGGTTAAAATAGATATTAGTTGTAGCAGCTTTAGTTGTAGTAATTAAATACGAAGTTAATTTTTGGCAAACAAATTTTTTATTTTTTTTTTTGATTTCGAGCCACTAAATCTTGCAAACGAAGTCTTAAGCTGAAAAATATAAGACAAACTTTAATAAATTTTTTTTTGTTGGCCATGTAGGCTTTATTTAAATTTTTTATTTTATTTTAAGATTTAATTGGATTTATTGCACCTCTTCTCCTTTTTTTATTTTTGAAAATCATTGCATACTTTCAGGCTACTTTGGCGTTCACAGATTTAGTTTATTCTTAGTGCGTCCTAAAGTTTCCTAATAACTGTATTATCTTACTAAATTTTTCAAAAATTCGACCTTACTTTCAAGAAAAAAAATGCCTACTTTCGCGCGCAAATAATCAAGTTTCCAATATGCATTCATCGTATCTTCTCTTTCATAAATTTGTTTCATTTTCACCAGATAAAAAAATTGTTCGTCACATTTGCAATTCACTTTAAGCATTGTTGCCTAAAACCTCTGCTGAAATCTAGATTTAAAGCACATTTTCAGCGCACACCCGCTTCACTGCAAAACATCTGCAATCTGAAATGCTTAGAAATGTCTCGCTTCGCCTGCCTTTGATCATCCTTCATAATGGCAGACAAAGCGCATAGCCGAACATAAGCCTATGCAAAGTACTTATGCATAACTACAGCACCGCCATTGGACGCCTAAATGTATGCCTTATGATGATATAGCTCAAGCAGAGCGAGCGAAGCATTAAAGAGGAGTCTAAGCAGCAAAAAGCGGAAGACACTCGAAAACACAAAACAACAGACGAGGAAGAGCCTACCAGCAGAGAACGTCGTACCGAGCGAACGACAGACCACAGCACGGGCGGGGTGTTTATTTTAAATTTAAAATTCTATGCATAAATTACGGCGCAGTTAAACGTTACGTACAGCGTTACGCACAAAAGGCTGCCAAATGAAAATCAAAAGGCAACCTAAAGCAACCAACGAACCAGCCAACCAATACAAAGTGTGTGCGGGAAATGACAAATGTGAGACATGAAAAAATTTTAGTAGCAAATTCGGTTGTAAATTTCTTTGGTTTGTTAAATTCGAACGCCTAAAAATAGGCCATGTATGCACAGGCTTACGTTTTTCTTAGACTTTTTAAAATTTTTGATATTATTTCACTGTTCAAACTTCATTTAAAGCAGCGACAATTTAATTTATTTTTTTTTTTAATTTTCTGATAAAAAGCAAAACGCGCACGAAAAAAACGCTACGCAGCGCCAGCACACGAAAGCGCTCATACGCCTTAGGACACGCAACGCGTTGCACAGCAAAACTTGAACTGACAGTCCAGCGACATGACCAAGGCATTCGTGGTTGTGATTTGGCAAATCCGAGCTGTTTGGTGTGGAATTTCATAGACGCAATGTCAACGGCAAATAGGCAGCGCTTGGTTGGGGAAAGGCGAAAAACACTGGGAAATTCGGAAATTTCGATGAGAGAGCATGCGAACAAGCGCTCAAAAGTACACTGCAAAAATGAGAGTGCGCAATAAAGAGACAGCGAGATAGCAATCCAAGACGATGAAAAGGAATTTCCTTTCATNACTGTTTGGTGTGGAATTTCATAGACGCAAATGTCAACGGCAACTAGGCAGCGCTTGGTTGGGGAAAGGCGAAAAACACTGGGAAATTCGGAAATTTCGATGAGAGAGCATGCGAACAAGCGCTCAAAAGTAGACTGCAAAAATGAGAGTGCGCAATATAGAGACAGCGAGATAGCAATCCAAGACGATGAAAAGGAATTTCCTTTCATCAGCGGAACGAAGCGGTGTATGGGTGGCGGAATGTTGTGGTTTGTTTTGTTGTGACCGCAAAATTCTTTTGCATGCATTTAGGCGGTGCAACTGAAGTGAGCATTTTTCATGGCGAATGAAATTATAAAAAAGCGTACAAAGTCAACGACCAGCGAAGGACCAATGGCCAGTTTAAGGTTTTAATTTAAATGTGGATCGTTTTTAGAAAAGACGATATGGAGCGCGAAGTTCTAATATGAAGTATTAAGAACTGACATTGGAGAATTAGATGCAAAATATTTTACAAAAACTACGAAAATTCTCATGTAGCTAAAATTAATTAAAAACGTATGCCAAAAATAATAAATATAATTTCTTGAACATAAACAACGAGCGCCCAGGAATTTTTTTTTCAAAAATTTCAAATATTTTTTTCAAAGAAACATAAAAACTTATTTAGGTTAGCTTTAAAAATTCAAAAAATAATTTGTCAAACTAAAATTTTTTTAAATTTATTTTTTTGTAAAATTTAAGCATAAATTTCGGAGCTTCTTAAAATGGTTTTTCGAACATAGTAACTAAAATTACTTCCGAACAAAATGTAAGATATCCAAAAAAAAATTTTCTAAAAACAGCCACAAGATTTCATTTGCCAGCGTTGCATACTTTAAGGCACATTCCTCTAATATAAACCACCACTCTATTATCAGCAGCAAACAATTCAAGGTCTACAACTAACAAATCGTTGGAAAATTTTAAGAACATTCTTGCTTTCAACGAAAGTCAGCGAAAAGGAAAGCATACTTTTCAGCGCCGCCGAAAGGAAAAATCTATCTATATTGCATGCATAAATTTCCCTTTATTTTTTGATGTGTACAGTGTCTGCATACTTTCGCTCGCTCGCACGCAAATTGCCTCTCCCAAATTGGCGCTCTCAGCTAATAATTTCCCGTTTAGAAGTCATAAGCCACAAGGGGGGAAAACACAAAAAAATATTTCCTCAAACAACCGTCAATCAAAACTCAAACGTCAAATTTAATAAATTCCAACATAGTCCTTCGCTAGTCAACAGCAGCAAAGCAGAAGGACACAAGGAGCGTGTGTATGTGCTGCTGCAAGAAGAAACCAACAAGGCGAAAAAAGGTTATACAAGTTAACAGCGGAAGTAATCTACAACAGCTGTAGCATACTTTTAGGCTGCGACGTTGCGGAGGGCAAATGATTGCTCATTTTGCCTTTTTTGGTTTTTAAAAATTATTGGAAACGAAAGCCATAAGCACAGTGGGTGCACATTAGACTGTGTCAGAAAATGAAGGAAAAGGAAATTTAAAGGTTACATGTGATGGGCGAGCCTTAAGGTAGGCAGCACAACTTTATACAAATTTTTTCACAGTGAAAGGTGAAGTGTAAAGCTGGAATGTATTGGTGATATCCATAGAAGTCAGAAGTACGCGGCTTGAAAAATGTTCGGCGTTTTTTTTAAGCTATTCTGGTATAAGATTTCTTTATCATCTATTTTTTAGAGTTGGAATGTTTAAGGAACTTCAGGGAACTACAAAAATATTACTTTATAATTACATAAATTAAAAACTGGCCATTAATATCGTAATGAGAGTATTTCTTCCCCACAGACTACCTTCACTATACCAACGGAAAGTAAGAATTTCATAAAAAAGTTTTTAAATACAACAAAAGCTAGTGAAGCTAAAAATAAAAGCGGATTTCATATGTTTAATCTTTTTATGCGTGAAGCTATGTTTGTCCGTACTATCTGTGGAGCAGTGTCTTCTCAAATATATAGATATATAAATGTACTATGTGTGTTTACAACACCAAGGTCTTCTAGCCTTTCTGTACATGATATTCTTCCCCCGTAGTGCTTTGTGTTAATACTAGAAGTAATGATAATAAGCGGATTGCATTTGCGGTGATATTTATGAAATCTACACTTTGAGCACATCAGTGCATTATGGATAGTGTGCTTGTTTTCTTGATTCTCTGCTCCAGCAAATACATAAGGGGTATTCACGATCCGGTGCATACGGTCTAGCATGGTGCACAGATAGCATAAATAGCATGATTGTTGTTGTTTCATGTGTTCAAACAACAACAAAATTAGCCAGTCGTGCTATCTATGCACCATGCTAGATAGTATGCACCGGATCGTGAATACCCCTATACAATACATACATTCATGCGCACGCAATGGCGGCGTCAAGTGCAAGGGTAATAACGATTGCCTGCAGGAATATGGTTATATTGTTTTTTGCATATTTATCTCTTAATTCTCAAATTATGGAAAAATTTGTTTCCAGTTCCAATACTGAAACAATTCTCAGAATTAAATCCTTAAAAATTCTGTTAACATTGAAAAGCTGCCGAAATTTTTTTTCGCTGCAAACGAGGAAAAACCAAAAAAAAAAATTTTAAAAACATATTTTGGAAAAAGTTTTCCTCAATTATGCGCGGTCGTTTTTCGCTATTATTTCGAGTTTTATATTATTTTCTTATTTTTTATATAACATTTACATGTTTTTTTTTTATTTATAAAATTGTTTATTTAAAAACTTTTAAAATTAAGTCGCGTAATATTTTTTCTTAACCTCATAAAATTTATCATTCACCTAGCACTTTTTTCTTTATCATTCCAATTTAAAAATAATTACAGTGGATTTCTACTTTATTTAGGAAATTTTTCGGAAAGGTTTTTCTTTTTTATGTTTTACTCTTTCCTTTGAATTTCGCCTTTTTTAATTTTGTAGGAAACTCTGTTTGTCAGATTTAAAATTTTAATATACTCCTCTCAATGACGTTTCGCTATTTCTCGAACCTAAGTATTTTTTATTTTTATTCTTTTTATTTCCTTTTTGCATTGTTTATGTATTTGTTAGCACTTAGTGCTTATTTTGCTTCTCTTAAAAAAATTAAACAGAAGGTAATTAAAAAAAATCGCATTGAAAACTAAGACAAAATTTAAGAAAAATTTACTAAATAAAAATTTTTTACATTTAAAAAAAAATTTAAACAGAAATTTTTTCTTCTACATATTTAGTAGGGGACTAATCTGCTTTTTTGCTTTAAAGTTTCGGGAGTTTTTTTTTTTAAATTTTAGTACATTTTTCATAATAAGCTGTATGAGCTTTACGACGTAGACGACATAGACATAGTGCATCCAGGGACCGAACATAACAGTTATTGATGAAAACTGTCACTGAAAAATTCACTATGAAGGATATATTCTACAACTAAGTGATACATACCAATCGATTTCTTTTTTCAACGAGAATTTGAAAATAAATTTATATTTGTATAATTTGTATGCAAAATTAAAAAAAAATAACAATTATTTTTTATTTTTACCTAAATAATCAGCAAATAACAGTTATGTTAGATTTTTATATTATAATATGTCTTAGACAACAGTTATCGAAGACTTTTGTTTATAAAAGTCATCAATATAAATCAGTCACAGATTTTTATTTTTTAAGAAACACATATAAAAGTCATTATAATTTTTAGCAGTTAAGAAGGTGTTGAAGAGCAAAAGTTTACAACGACTTATACAAATGACTTTTATAACTATGATTTAAAAAATAAAGGTCAGTGACTGATTTATATTGATGACTTTTAAAAGTAAAAGTCACTGACTGATTTTTATTTATGACTTTTTTAAATAAAAGTCTTCAACAACTTTTATCTAAGCCGTTTAATTTTAAATTCAATAATAACTGATATTTGTAGATTACTTAGATTAAAATCAAAAATAATTTTTATTTTGGATTTATTAAATAAAAATCAGAAATAACTGTTATTTAAGGAGTAATTAAATAAAAGTTAAAAGATAACTGTTAAGCAAAGATTTTTTGAATAAAAGTTGTAACTTTTACGGTCCCGGAGAGCATCGAATTGGCAGAATGGAGGGAAATGCTACAGCTCTGAAAGTATTTAACGCAGGTCGCGATTTTGGTAGCAGAGGAAGGCTTCCTTTGCGTTGAATAGACAAGGTGGAGAATGACTTGGCTTCACTTGGCGTTTCCAAAACGAAGAAACGACTGGTTACAGCGCCAAATAAAAAGAAGAATCGTTTAAATCGGCTTAATATTTTAGAAGTTTACCACAAACAAAGAACCATTGCTGATGATTTCTCATAAGCAGTGTGACCAGTGGATCGCAAAAAGCGAAACTAAATTCATTTTTAAAAAATAAAAAAGGTTAGAAAAAGTTTTACACAATGAAAATTTAAGTCAAAAGTATATTCATTCCTTAAAAACGTACAAGCTTTTTAGTAAGCTTATGTGCTTAGTTTTAAAGTTCTGGTCCGAATTTTATTATGAATATTTTCAGTGAAAAAATGCCAGAAAAAAGTCACGAAGTCAGATTTAAGTTTCTGAGGCTATGGCATAAATTTCTAAATCTAGCCTTCAGAAGGCTAACCTGGTAACACTGTTTATAAGTGTTCTTGGCTAAATAAAAGTCATTTAAGATCAACATTTCATGAACAATTACCCCTATGTTACTTTCT